AGGCCCGGACGTCGTCTCTGACGAGTTTGACGCGACGCCGGCGGTCCCGGACGTCGTCCTCTTTTGTGGGGGCGAGGCCGCCGCCCACACGGTCTGTTCTGGGGCGCCGGTCGTCGGGCCCTCCGTCGTCGTAGACCTGGCCGCCGCCACCCCGTGCGTCGTGCTGTGCCAAACACTCCTTGTAAAAATACAACTACAACTCTTTTCAAGTAAAAATTTACAAAGAAAAAAAAATGGTGGTTGCGAGAAATTTCACCTGTGTACAGTGTTGGTCCTCCGACTGCGCGGTGGCACCCCAGTGCGCCTGCGCTTCCCGTTACCGCCGTCAGCCGTGCTGCTGCCCCAATAATTGTCGCCCGCGGTCGGCGGGGCTGTCCCGCCGCTGTCCCGCGGGGCCCCCGGTGGGCTGCTCGAGGGCCGCGGGCTGTCCACCCCTTGGCCCTCCTTCTCCTCCTCTCGGAGCAGGGGCGAGGCGATGCGGAGGCTCGGATCGATTTGCGCGCCGCCGCTGGTCAGCCCGACGGTCAGCGCGCCGCGCTCGCCGAACCCGGCCGCGGAGCAGCGCAGCCCTGTAACGAGCACCAAGAGTTGGAGCTTAAAAGTTTTATAGACAGTCCCTTACTTGGGAGAGAGAGAGAAAGAGAGAGAAGCGAACAGTGAAAGATAGGGAGAGAGAGTGACTGAGATTAAAATTAACTATTCTCAAGGACAGGGAGTTGCACTTTTCAGTGTCTTATGTCTTAATAAGTTTGCAGCACCAGACGTGCTGCTATCTAGGAACAAATATGGGAGAGGGAATTTTCGTTATCGGTTAACTTATTGATGTGTGGGTACACAGCACTTTCTGAGGGGGGCGACGACTGAAGTACTATCATTATGGCATCATATATAATAAACATGTCAAATTTTCAAGAGTGAGAGAGACAGACAGAGGTACATGCTGGAGAAGAGCCAGTGGAGAGAGAGAGAGAGAGAGAGAGAGAGAGAGAGAGAGAGACGGGGGGAGGCAGGAGAGAGAGGCTCCTAAGTTGATTAAGTGGGCATAAGTTGTCCGTACAAGTCCCACAGTGAGTCTGCTGGCTGCGTGGGCGTCTTGGAAGGCCTTGGCGAGGGAGGGGTAGAGACATGCAATGCCTTCCTTAATGGAAGCGTTTAGTTTTCGCCTCCCGCCTACTGCGGTAGGCCCGGGTAGGTAGGCCTGCTCTTGCCAAGTCGGCTGGTGGGCGGGGCAGTTGAACAATTTTTCTTTTTTATCGTGTTTATTTTAATCGTCTTTGAACTCAAGGTTGTTTTTACCATTTAAAAAAAAGGGGGGAAAATGAGAGAAACCGTGGCCTTGTGGTTGAGAAATGTACAGCATGTTTACCCTTTCCTTGTTAGAGCTGGTTTATGTTAGGAAGTGGTACATCACCTAAAAAAAAGTTAAGTGTTCTATTCCCTAACCATGCCCCACCACCACCACAAAAAGCAAAGAAATAAAACTATAATTATTCAGAAAAATAATGAGAATTAAAAACAGATAAATCGGCGTACACCCCTTGCATGGTGGCGCCGACCTTTGAGCGGGACGCTGCGGTTGGCCACTGCCAGAGGCCGCACCAGGTCGGATAGGTGGAAGGGCCGGTCGGCCGCCAGCAGCGCCAGGTCGTGCGTGGCCATGCCCCGGGGCGCGGTCCGGGCGGCCAGCACGGCGCGCGCCGCGTAGCGCACCTGGCGAGCTCCTGGCCCCCCTGAGCCCCCCGGCCTCAGGGGGCTGACCGCGCCGGCCACCATCTGGAACAGAGAGAGAGAGAGAGAGAGAGGGAGGGAGGGAGTGCCAAACCTTTTGTGTCCTCGAGAATAAGGCGCGCGTGGTGGTAATTGGAAAAAGTAAATAATGAATAGCTCGAATTCTTTTTCTTCTTCTTTTTAAAAGGGAGAAGAGCTCAGGACTAGGCGGTCCCGATGATTCTGTTGTCCCAGAG